CACCAACTGTATGATCCTCCTCATCAAAAAATGATATGTCTTGATGTAATATTGCTGCAAATGACTGTGACCGTATGCGTTGTGTAAGGTTTTCACCAGAAAGCCCAAATGATATCCCTTGTATAAAATGAGCCAACATAGTTATAACACCAATAACCACTATTTAATATAATCGATAATCAGAGAAGCAATGATATAGTAAGTATTTGTAAATTAATAACATCTAAAAAAAATTCATGTTATTGTAAAATAAAAAGGAAAAAAAATACATACAAAACATAAGTGACCAAAATCTGACCTCATGAGTTAATTCATCACCAGTTGTAGCAAATGCTTGTACAATTTTTGAAAATACTATACCAAATGCTGGATAAACAGAACCAGCTACAATAGCACCAAATAATCCAAAAAATATTAATGGGAGTTCTGGTCGATTTATAGCAGCCACTTTTCTTACAAGTTCAAATGTTTTAAAATCGCTATCTTTCTTGATACCAGATTCAATATCAGCCAAGTTTTTAGATATTTTTGCTGATGATGCTGACTTATTTGTAACTGTGCAACTTATTTGAATATCTTCATCATCAGGAAAATTTTCCTCTTGTCTTTTGGTTAGAATTGATAATGATGATGATTCTTCAGTTTTACTTATTATATGTTGGGCCTCAACCAATTTAAAATAGTAACCTTCTTTTGCCATAAGTTCATTATGATTACCAGATTCAACAATAACACCTTTATCCATTACAATAATTTTTGTTGCATTTTTGATTGTTGACAAACGATGGGCAATGACTATAGTTGTACGATTTTGTGAAGCTTTATCAAGAGCACCTTGTACAATTCCCTCACTGTTGGTATCAAGAGCACTTGTAGCCTCATCAAGTAATAAAATTTTTGGATTTTTAACAATAGCACGAGCAATTGCTACACGTTGTTTTTGACCACCAGATAATAAGAATCCATTTTCACCAACCATTGTGTCATACTTGTTTGGTAAATTCATAATGAAATCATGTGCATTTGCCATTTTACATGCAGTTTCAATCATTTCATGTTTTTTTTCATTATCAAGCTGCTCATGCTCTGAACCAATCAAACCATGAGAAACATTTTCAGCAATTGTTGTATTGAAAAGTACAGGTTCTTGGTCCACCAAACTCATTTGTCTGCGTAGCCATTTCAAATTAAATGATTTTATGTCATGACCATCAATTGTAATACTTCCCGTAACAGGATCATAGAACCTGAGAACAAGTGATACAATTGTACTTTTTCCTGACCCAGATGAACCAACCAAAGCCACAGTGGAACCAGCTGGAATATTCAATGAAACATTATCCAAAGTTTGAACATCAGGCCTTGCAGGATAAACAAAAGAAATATTTTTAAGTTCTATGTGACCTTGAACACCATCTACAAGTTGTTCACCTTCCTCAGACAAAGAATCAATTACTGGAACCCGGTTAATTGTTTCAAAAATTTTTGAACCTGCACCAATTGCAGAACTAAAAGCTTGAATCTCAGGTGCAAGATTTCCAAGAGAGAAAGCTCCCATCAACACAGCAAAGAATACATTTATAACACTTCCAGGAGCCAATTCACCAGATAAAATCAAAGTTGATCCAAACCAAAAAGCCAAGCCATATGTTGTATAAACAAAAAATTGGATGAAACCAATTGAAGTACCCCTGACTATAGATTTTTTTATGCCTTGAACTTTAGCTTTTTCCAAATGTACATCATATAATTTAGAAAGTTTTTTCTGGTTTCCAAATGCCACAGTAGTTCTGATTGTTGCAATAACTTCTTCAGCTATTGTACCAGCAAATGAATAAGAATCCAAGGTTTTCCTC